CTACAATACCTTTCTTAGAAGTATAGATGTATACTCTTTCTAAGAAAGGTATTGTAGGGCATGCTTCAGAAAAATGAGGGAACAAACCAAAGATGAGGATGGCGTGGGATCCAGGGTGATCTCTCCCAGCAAAGCCTGGAAGGGAGGACCCAGGCCTGCACCTGGTCTAGAGAGCAACCAGACTGAAATCCCAATGAGGTGATAGAGGGTTACAAAAGACAAAGACGTGTAAGATCATTCACTGTGTCAGGATGCTTAAACATTATTAATAGATAGTTGACAGATCTGTTGGAATGTTTGGGAAAAAATGAGTGAAAAGTAACATTTAAAACTAAGCAGATTAAAATAAATGAATGAAATTAAAAAGGGGGGCAATTATTAACAAGAAAGTTATACAAAGAAAGGGAACAGTCATAGTTAATCCAAAAGTTCTGTAGGAAATAATACTAACATATTTATTGTACTATAAATGCAAACTAACTATATTCAATAGGTAAGGGAAAACGGAGAGGAAAAAGTAGAACGTAAGAAGACTACACCCTCATTAGCTGGGCATGGTGGCGCGTGCCTGTAATCCCAGCTACTCGGGAGGCTGAGGCAGGAGAATTGCCTGAACCCAGGAGGCGGAGGTTGCGGTGAGCCGAGATCGCGCCATTGCACTCCAGCCTGGGAAACAAGAGCGAAACCCCAAAAAAAAAAAAAAAAAAAAAAAAAAAAGAAGACTACACCCTCAAAAGGAGGCCAATAATCTGCCATAACTAGGTATATAAATGGCTGTTTGTGTGAATTATTTAGCAATATGGAAATAAATAGAGAAAAGATAGCTACGGAAAGTTAAAAATGGTTGCCTCTGTGGCTGGGGTGTTGCATGGGGTGAGGCGGCACAAGGAACTATTATTTTCCAACATAATCCTTTTGATATGATTATAACTTTGCACAAATGTTATTTTGATAAATGTAGAAACCAGTTAAAATAGCACTTATTGTCACTGTGGCATATTCGTTTGCTAGGGCTGCTGAAATAAAGCACCACCAAATGGGTGATGTAAGCAACAGAAATGAATTGTCTCACAGTTCTCAAAGCGTGAGGTTTGAGGTCGAGGTGTGGGCAGGGTTGGCGTCCTCCGAGGGCTGTGGATGAAGGGTGTGCTCCAGGCTCCCTCCTTGGCTTGTAGATGACCATCTTCTCCCGGTGTCTTCACATTGTCCTCCCTCCCAAGGTGTCTTTCTGTCCAAATTTCTGCTTTGTGTAAGGACACCAGTCATGCTGTATCAGGGCCCACCCTAATGACTTCCTAACTTGATCATCTCTGTGATCTGTCTTCAAATCCTTATTTGAATCCAAATGCTTTTTTCTTTCCTTTTTTTTTAAGACAGAGTCTTGCTCTGTCACCCAGGCTGGAACGCAGAGGCACAATTTGGCTCACTGCAACCTCTGCCTCCCAGGTTCCAACGATTCTCGACTCTTAGCCTCCCAAGTAGCTGGGAACTAAAATCCTCTGTAATGTTGGGTGAACGCCACCACACTCGGCTAATTTCTTTGTGTTTTTAGCAGAGATGGGTTTTTGCTCTGTTGGCCAGGCTGGTCTTGAATTCTTGGCCAAAGTGCTGGGCTTACAGGCATGAGCCACTGCACCTGGCTTCATTCCAAATTCTGAGATACTAGGGGTTAGGACTTCAACAGAGGAATTCGAGAGGTGGGGGATGGGACACATTTTATTTTATTTGTTTATTATTATTTTTTGAGACGGAGTTTCGTTCTTTGTTGCCCAGGCTGGAGAGCAGTGGTGTGATCTTAGCTCCCTGCAACCTCTGCCTCCCAGGTTCAAGTGATTCTCCTGTCTCAGCCTCCCGAGTAGCTGGGATTACAGGTGCCCGCCACCATGCCTGGCTAATTTTTGTATTTTTAGTAGAGATGGGGTGTCACCATGTTGGCCAGGCTGGTCTCAAACTCCTGACCTCAGGTGATCTGCCCACCTCAGCCTTCCAGAGTGCTGGGATTACAGGCATGAGCCACCATGCCTGGCCGGATGGGACACATTTTAACTCGTAACATGTGGGGATTGTCAATTGTAGCCAAAGTTTCTGTGGGAAAATCCTCTGTAGTGTTAGCAAGTTTCTTAATTGTGACTGTGAGTTCACTTGGAGTCTGGGAGGTCTTGCTCTACATGGAACACGGGCTGCCATTCAGGAAGAGCGACCCTGACTCAGACGTGGCCTCCCCCGCACCGTTCTGGGAGTGAGAGTGCCGACGCTCGGAGGGCAAACACCAATGTTTAAGTAGGAATAGAAAGAGACGGCACTGTGAGCCTTTTGTGGAACCGCCATTCTTTGGATGCATAAATTGTGTATCATTCTATGTATGGTGGAGTAGATCAAAGGTGTGTCTTCCCCAAAATGTGTCATTAAGAACTTTTGTTGGAAAGATTTGAGAAGCAGAGGATCCTTTAATAAAGATAGCGCTTTATAATATATCTACTAGATCTTGTATTTTTTAAATAGCCTGAATTAGTCTCCAGTTATTTTGTGAATAGAAGGCAAGTCCTTACACCTGTTTGTGACCTTACACCTGTTTGTGACCCACACCTGTTTGTGACCTTCTTTAGGGCCAGGGCCATAAGAGTGACATTGGTGCGGGACTCTGTGTGCCAGGCATTCTTTCTACCAGTGCACATGTCTTAACTGATTTAGTGTTCACATGAATTTTTGAGGTAGGGCCTGTGATGATCCCAGTGTCAGGGCCTCCAGAGCCCAAGCTCTCAACGGTCTTACTCCACTCCCCAGCCCTCAGCCACAATCACTACAACACAAGCAAAATACAGGCCTCACAGTGGGAGTGAGTCACCAGCATACGCCTATCACTCATTACACAGAGAAAGAATGTTTAACTAACTACAAAATGAGTGTATGAAGAGCACAGGCACAGTGGCTCACGCCTGTAATTCCAGCACTTTGGGAGGCCGAGGCAGGATGATCACCCGAGGTCAGGAGTTTGAGACCAGGCTGGGCAACATGGCAAAACCCTGGTTCTACTAAAAAATACAAAAATTAGCTGGGCCTGCTGGTGGGTGCCTGTAGTCCCAGCTACTCATGAGGCTGAGGCAGGAGAATTGCTTGAATTTGGGAGGTGGAGGTTGCAGTGAGCCAAGATAACACCACTGTACTCCAGCCTGGGGGACAGAGTGAGATTCTGTCTCAAAACAAAAACAAAAACAAAAACAAATATGTTAGTGTTCAAAGAGATTTATAGTCAATGTTTGTAGTCTCAAGAGATTACCTCTTCAAGGCTTTCTGGCTGATTCTTTACTGAGGTAAGAGCCTAAAGAGAAACTTGGTGGTAATGTTGACATTTATATTCCACTGTCATGCAGGGGCCTCTGGGAATTCAAAAAGCAAGGCTGCTCTTTGTTGGATTGGTTTCAGAAGTAAGCTTTCATCTTTCAAATCATTAGTGGGTAGTTCTGCATATATAAAATAGACAGCAAAAGCAGAGTTTACAGGACCCATGACATTTAACAGAGCACAGAAAGGTGTGGCCCCACATTTTAGGATAATTATAAGAAAATGCCAGTGTCTAAGACTGAAGCCAATAAAATGTTGATTGAATGAGATTCATCATTTGAGGAAACTATTCAACATAAGAGATGACTTATATGTGTTTTTATAAATGTGAATGCATTGGATAATTGTCATAGAACCCTCCAATTTCAATGTTAGTTGCAACTGGACTGGATTAGACTCTTGCTAAATCAAGTGTACAAGGGCATGTGAATGTTAGTTTTGGGGTGTATCTATGGGTATATATGAGTGTTTTAGGGAAGGAAGTGTGTGCATGAGTATCTAATCTACGTGGAGTATAGAAACTCCTGGAATTGTCAGTGTGATTGCAACTGTGTTCATGGCTTATGGGTATGGCGAGTGAGGTGTGGGGTACTGGGTGGGATGGCACGCTGGTGCATAGCATGTTGGTGCGAAGGGTGTGTGGTTTGGTGGGGTGAACTGGTGTGTGGTGTGGTTGGACCTAGCATGGGGCTTAACTGGACTTTAACTGGGAATGTTAATGGAACAGCAAAGCCCAAATCTTGGAATTTCACCCCCTGTAGACCAACAACCTTAATGAATGAACCTTGAGGAGTGAATTTTCATGTGGGGTGTTGGTTCTGTGGGAGGTGGGAGGCTGGAATATGTGAATGTTGGGGGGCTATAGAGTGAAGGCGGGGGATGTGTGTGTATGTGTGGGTGATATGGGTGTAGCTTAGCTTAGCTTTTGTTTCGATTTTCTTTTGCTCTTTGTTTTTGTCTTTGGCCTTTGTTTTGTCTCTGTTTCGCTCTTTGTTGAAACTTTCTTTGGCTTTTGTTTGGTCTTTCTTTAGCCTTTTGTTTAAACTTTGTGTGGCCTTTTTGTAGTCTTTGTGTAGCTTTTGTTTTTAAGTGGATCTTGGCTGAGGACTCATCAAAAACACCTTGTGTAATGAAAAACCCAGATCTATAACCTCTCCCTATATATTCTGGATGCATTGAGGTAGGCTCAAACCCTCAGGGACCTGGTGTAGACGCGGGATCTGTTTCACACAACTGCCATTTGAAGGTAAGAGGATGCCACTGGTTTTTATTCTACTTCATTTTATACTTTCATCTTTAAGTGACTAGTGTACTTTTTTGTATGGGGCTTTCGTTATACTCCAGGGAAAACTTTCTCTAAGAATAGTCAAGACTGGGAGGACGTACAAGGATGGAGAAAACAAGGACAGACGACACCACATTTATTCTGATGTGGGCAGGGGGCCTCATGGAACGTTCCTGCCAATGTTTGGGAATTGTCTAAGCCCAAAGAGAGGCTCTGAGCCCTCACTCAGATTTCCTCAGAGTCAAAGCCCTTACTCAGATTTCCTCCAGGTTCCTGGAGCTAGATGGATGGTGGTACATACCGCTCTTCTTTTTTTTTTTTTTTTTTCTATTTCTTTTTTTATTATTTGTCATGATTTAAAAATGAGTTTTTCTTTTTATCTAGGAAGAACTTTTTTCCTCATATGGTTGGATTTATGTGTGGGGGATATTACAGGAACAACAAAGCCCAAATCTTGGAGCTTCTCTCCCTGTAGACCAACAACTCAAAGCGGAAAGGCGCTAATGCTTTGTCTGATACAGAATATCTTAGAAACAACAGGGAGTTTTCAGTTCTATGGATGACAGAGAAAGGAAAAAACATTATGTGTCCCAGAGGCAAGTAACGCATTCGGCCTACAGTACTAGCGGGAAAATGGGGAAAGGACTTTTTAATGCTCTGTAAATAAATCAGGGAGACAGAGAGCAGGCTGCTGCCAGGTGTGTGGATATGCTGTTCTGTGACTATTTAGAATGGCAGGAGACTTGTTGGTGAGCGTGTTTCAAAAATTATTTCAGATTTTCAGGAAAGTTGCAAACAATACCAAAAATTTCAGGTGCACCCAAATTACCCAAATGTTCCCGTTTTACCATATTTCCTTTATCATTCTTTTTTCTCTCTCTGTATCTATATATCTATATATATGTGTGTGTGTGTATATATATATGTATATATATATATATACACACACATATATATATCTAATTAATTTTAATAAAAATTAAAAAAGTAATATTGAGAAAAGACTATTTTCTAATCTGGAGATATCTAGATTTCATCAATTGTCCAAGGGGCCAATTGAGAACCACCCATGACCTTTACTTGTCCTGTCCCTTTAGCCTCCTTTAATCTGGAACCAAAGCAGAGGCAGCTTTGACCTAGACGGTGTTGAAGAGCATTAAGCCACTTATTTTGCTAAATGTCCCTCAGTATGGGTTTCGTCTGCAGTTTTCTCACAATTGTGCAGTTTTCAAAGGAAGATGCTTGCATTTTACATCCTACATATCCAAATTCATACTTGAATCTGATTATACACTTTTTAAATTCAAGGTCTTGTTTACCTAAGTTACTAGTATTTTAAATGAGTACCTAAAATCTTTGTATACCAAATTACCAAAAATTAAAAATCTAGAGCTTTTACAGATAATTCCCAAGCAATCACCAAAAATGTATAACTGTCGCTCTTGGATTATAAATGGCAATTACAGTGATATGTACATGAACGTATAGGCTGAAAGTGAGGTATTCAATTTGGATTCATTGTGTGTGTTGGATTCATGTCTACTGCTCTCTGAGTATTAGTTTCATGAATGTAATAATTCCTTTCTAAGTGCAACCAGCTGCTAAAAGCAGATACAGCTCAATAGCGTTTCCCTGGGAAGCCACTCCAGGCTGACTGGCGTCCTTTTGCAGGTTGATAGGACTTCTGCACAATGGAGGAGGCGGGCCTCTGGCAACACTGCAAAAAGCCTCCTGATCAAAAGTGTTTCCTACCCGTTCTAGTGCTCACATCTCAGCATTGAACTAAAGACCACACCCATATTGAGGGCAACTAGCAAATAACGGGCCCAAGCTGTTCAAAGTTGTCCCCTTATGGGGACAGGAATCAAAACTCTGAGATCCTTAAGCTATGCCAGGCATTCTCAAAACAAGTCTTCTCAACAAAATCTGTGAGGTAGGGACTATTATTCACATTTTACAGAGAAGAAAACTGAGATCCAGAGACTAGCCTGTGATTACACACAGCCAGTGAATGACAGAGCCCAGTACTCAAGTGTGACATAAGCCTTTTAATTTTTTATGGACAAGATGCATTATTCTTTTTAACTAATACACTTTTACTTTAAGGTTAAAACAATTGAAGTTAAAAAGATGAGCTGAAAATGAACAAAGCAATATTTTAAAATAATTTCTATTAATGACATAAAATTGTTTGTTCTCACTAAAAATATCAGTTGTATTTTTAATGAGAGTAATTGAGTTCAATGTCAAATCTAGTTTTTCCTCCTCTTTGTTAATTTAACAAAAAGATCTTCCTAGTAGTAGGGGCAGAGTTAACTCTGCCTATTAAAAAATTAATTTGGGCTTATATTACTACTTGTATGATCTTAAAATCTTAAGTTATTCATTGGTTTCTCATGAAAGAATAAGATCAGTGAAAGCAGCTAAAAACAAAAAGATATAATCAACAAATTCACTCACCAGTCTCAGTCTGCAGTAATTTTCAGTATACTGAGAGCAAAGGGACAAGTGAAGCCCTCAGATGCCTGTCTAGGGTTCAGGGCAAGGTCTAGCTAACCTGTGCTGAGTGAGGGTGGCAGAATCAATGCAGGCGTTAAATGTTAAATGTAACAATCTCATTGTTTTAGATAACACATATAAAAAGAAAAGTCTTTTTTTTTTTTTTTTTCTTGAGACAGAATCTCCCTCTGTTGCTGGGCTGGAGTGCAGTGGTGCAATCTCGGCTCACTGAAACCTCCACCTCCTGGGTTCAAGAGATTCTCCTATCTCAGCCTCCTGAGTAGCTGGGACTACAGGCACGTGCCACCATGCCTAGCTAATTTTTTGTATTTTTAGTAGAGATGGGGCTTTACCATGTTAGCCAGGATGGTCTCGATCTCCTGACCTCATGATTTGCCCGCCTTGGCCTCCCCAAGTGCTGGGATTACAGGCTTGAGCCACCACACCTGGCAAAAGAAAAGTCTTATACCTCATCTTCCTGACCCTCAGTGAAACATCTTGGGAACTCTCATGGGGTAGGCACATCTGCTTTAAAGGCCACTGGGCTGACCCTTCCACATTAACAATTCAATTACACCAGAATATGATGGGCTGACACCAAACTCCTCTTGGCATTTCAGTCTCTATCAACCCCAAGTCTGGGATATCACCATTGCAAGTCCTTTCCCAGCTCCTCCTCTGGCAGGAGACATGTGTCCTTTCCCAGCTCTTCCTCTGGCACTAGACATGCATCTTTCCCAGCTTCTCCTCTGGCATGCCGGCGTGCCCCTCCTGCACTTGTTTCCATTAAACTCTGCGTTACCTGCTACAGTGACCCAGTGGCAACACCCAGAGAGCTAGTGATTACACGTAGAAGGATTCTAAGCTGTACTGAGATATAGACACCACAGCACTTCCAAGAAGCAGCAGGTGTGTCGAAGCATTGACTCAGCCAGTTCCACTACCTCTGCAAGCATAGAGCAGAGCTCATTTCTCCACATAATGTTTGCACTCAGATGGATGAGGGCTTCTGTGCCTTCAAGTCCAGTGGGTTTTCTATAACTACGATAGAGAAACTTGTGGTGGTTTCCTCAGAATCACCAAGTCTGGTGATTCAAGTCCCTACCCTTGAGAGAGGTGCCTGATAAAGACAGAACTCTCATTTCCCACAAGTTCTCAGTAAGTGGGAGAACTTCTGTTTGGAACTGGCTGGCAGTTTTATCAGTCTGGAGATAGAGGCTTTGACTTCCTTTACTTTGAGACAATTACTAAAATGAATTCCTTAGATTAACAAATACAAAATATCCTTTTTTTTTTTTTTTTTTTTCAGAGAAAATACTGGAGTCATAAAAAATACAAATGCAGGGCAGTTGGTTAACCTATTATATGATCTTTATGGTACAGTGAACATAATGTGGCTTTAATAAGACTGTTCTCTGGATGATATAAACTTTTTTCTCCTAAATATGGAATTAGTTTAGGATTTTGGGGTTCTGTACATAGTGCTATTTAATAATGAAGAACTCAACTACTGGGAAAGCATGGCATTAGCTGTTATGACTGTTTCAGCTGGGCCATGAAAGTCACTCTGTAGTTTGATAAAGTGTTTTCTATTTAAAAGACTACTCAAAGGATATTCCCATGATGGATCATCCCGGAGTGATAAATGAGCATCCCCTTCTCTCACTCAGCCAAAAGAATTGGGGGCCACTGGCCAGGTGCGGTGGCTCATGCCTGTAATCCCAGCACTTTAGGAGGTCGAGGTGGGCAGATCACTTGAGCTCAGGTGTTTAAGACCAGCTTGGGCAACATGGGGAGACCCCCTTCTCCACAAAAAATACAAAAATTAACCAAGTATGGTAGTGTGTGCCCATAGTCCCAGCTACTTGGGAGGCTGAGGCTTAAGGATCATTTGAAACTGTGAGGTCAAGGCTGTACTGAGCCATGTTCTTGCCACTGCACTCCAGCCTGGGTGACAAAGTGGGACTTTGTCTCAAAAAAGAAAAAAGAATAATAACTGGGGGCCGGGACATGGAAGGGTTAGGAGGCCAGAGAGTCTTGTGGATAGGGATTAAGCTGCGTCCCACAACCTGGAAGTCTGCTGGGCTGGACTAGGCCCCAGGATTAGATCCCATCATGTGGGCTCCAGGAGTGACTTCTTATATTGGCTGTGCAGGCCACTCTGGCTTCTGTTGCTTCTGTCACCCTTAAAGCATTAGGTAAATACCTGGTGTCAGCTGTGCTCTGGGTGGGTAAGGAATCTTCCTGTTTTAAGATGTACTTGTCGTGGGGCGTGGTGGCTCATGCCTGTAATCCCAGAGCTTTGGGAAGCCAAGTGGGATGGGTCATGAGGTCAAGAAATCAAGACCATCCTGGCCAGCATGGTAAAACCCTGTCTCTACTAAAAATACAAAAATTAGCTGGGCATTGTGGTGCACACCTGTAGTACCAGCTACTCAGGAGACTGAGGCAGGCGAATCACT